CCCCCCCCCCCCCCCCCCCCTTCTGTCTCTTCCGTCCTTTGATGTTTTTCTCCACAACGAGTGCTGTTGACCGCCTTCATCGTATCTCATGAGTCTTGCCTCTAAACTCTCCACCTACAACTGTCCGTGGACCGCAGGCGTGCAGATGGTGGCCATGGAGAAGGGCAAGTTCTACGTGTCCGGCAAGCTGACCGGGCTCAACCGGCCGGTGAGGGACTTCTTCTGCAAGACGCCGGCCGAGACCCGCGAGGACCTCCCCAAGGGCGTGGACGTGGTGGCCTTTCAGTGCCGCAACCCCATCCACCGCGCACACTATGAGGTGAGCTGAACGAGAACGAGGCATGGGGGTTACCCTGAGGACAGCGGTTGTCGCGTGTTGGGTTGGGTGACCCTGGGTTGCACCCCTGGGAGAGCGGGGGTCAGGGTGTCTGCTGTGTGGTTGTGTCTTCCCCAGCTGTCATTTGGTGGAGGAGGTGTGGTTGTATGCTCTCCAGCTGTCTTAGGTGGAGGATAATTTCTGGAGAGGCAAAGAATTGATTCATCAACAGTAACAGAGTAGTGACGCTGACGTTTTGGTAGTTTCCTCGTGGATCTCGTGACTTTCCTCCATAGCCAATAGTGTCTCACCTCTCACCTCGTGGCATCAGCCAATCGGGCTCGCTGCAATCAATCCTGAAACTCTTGAGCGTCTGCTTTGTGAATGCCGTGTGCTGTTGCAGCTGTTTACCCGTGCGCTTGACGCTGAAAACGTGGGCAGCGACGGCGTTGTGATGGTGCACCCCACCTGCGGTCCCACCCAGGCGGATGACATCCCGGGAGACGTGCGGTGAGTGACACAGAGAGACAGAGAAACGACCGCAATGTCGCTGCTGCTGCTGCTGCTGCTGTTGGCTGCTGCTGTTGGCTGCTGCTGTTGGCTGCTGGTGCCGTCTTGATACGGTTGGTGCGGTTGTGGCGATGGCGACGGGCCATGCCGCTTGTTTCGTTTCGGTGCTCGGAAGAGGCAGAGGAAGACGTTGTTTGTTAGGAGCGTTTGTGGCGGACATTGATGGTCATGGTCTGGTTTCGGAAGACGAGAGAAACTTGGCATCGTATGGTATAGTATTGTTCAACGATGGGTGCAACGCGTTTGTCGAAATACACCAAGGATGTAAGTGTATACCTCCACTCCACTCTACTTGCAATAGTCGTCGTGTTGGCTTCACACGTGCAGCACCAACGTCAGCACAATGCCGCAGAAAAGCAAACGCGCGAAGATGTACCGAGAAGAGAACATATGTTTTCGAACACTTTGGTGGCGGCTCGGGTGTGCTCGAACGGGCCATGTGCGGGGCCTAATTGATAGCTACCATATGCTGGTACCCGCTGTTGGTGTCCCTGCCTTTTTTTTGCCGCCCCGCCCCAGGTGCACACGACAGGTGAAGCTGTTCATTCCACATTGCACCCCCCCCCCCCCCC